AGGGAGCCCGATGTGGGACTCGATCCCAGGACTCCAGGATCATGACCTGAGCCGAAGGCAGTCACTTAACCAACTGAGCCACCCAGGCGCCCTATTTATTCTTTTATAGTGCCTTGACCATTCTTGATTGCTATTCTTCACCATAAACTTTAGAATCAACTTGTTAAGATTTAGGTACATCCTTATTTGGAATTTGATTGTAGTTGCATTGACCTTGTAAATCAGTTTAAGGAGAATTAATATCTTTATGATAATGAAGCTTCCCATCTATGAATATGATCTAACTCCTCATTTAGTTAGCACTGCTTTGTTATCTTTCATTTCACATAATGTTTATATTTCTCTAGATATAGGTCTTTCACATATTTTCTAGACTGGGTTTTTAAGTCATTTTATTAATTTTTATTAGTTTTGTTGAGATAAAATATACATACAATAAAATGTACACATCAGTATACAGTTTGACACGTTTTGACAAATGCATGCCCCATTTAACCACAACTGAATGAAAGTATAGAACATTTCCATCATCTCAGAAAGTTCCCCGATGTCCCTTTGCTGCCCATCTCCCCACCCCATCCCAGATAACCACTGATCTAATTTCCACCACCGTAGGTTAGTATTGCCACTTCTAGAACTTCGTAGGAATAGAAACATTCAGTATGTGCTCTTTTGTGTCTGACTTGTTCACTCAGCTCATCCATGTCATTTCATGAATCAGTAGGTCATTCTTTTGTATGTCTGGGTCATATTCTGTTGTATAAATATATTTCAGTTTTGTTTGTCCATTCACGTGTTATTTCCAGTTGGGGGCTATTCTAAATGAAGCCCCTATGAAATTCATGTACCAGTCTCTATGTAAACCTATTTTTCATTTCTTTTGAATAAATAACAAAGACTGGAATTGCTTTGCCATTTGGTAGTATACATTTAACTTGATAAGAAATTGCCAAACTGTTTGCCAAGGTGACTGTACCATTTTACCCTCCGTGAAAGCTCCAACTGCTCCACACTTAATGTTAGCCTTCTCCTGGGTGTTGGGTTTTTCTCATAGCAGATTTCCCTGATGACTAGCTCCCATGTGCTCATTGGCCCTTAACACATCTTCTTTTGTAAAGTGTTGATTGATATCTTTTGCCCCATTTCACTGAATTGTTTGTCTTCTGTTATTGAGGGGTTAGTTTTTAACATAAACATTTCATGTAATTATTATATAATTGGATTTGAGTCACCCATCTTGTTTTTTGTTTCTCACTTGTCTCAGGTGGGTTTTTTGGGTCCTCTATTGTTCTTTTCTGCTTTCTTTTGAGTTCATCAAATACTTTTAAATATTTACTATTATTTATTCTACTGAAATATCTCTTTTGGGGGGTGCCCAGGTGGCTCAGTTGGTTGAGTGTCTGCCTTCAGCTCAGGTCATGATCCCAGAGTCCTGGGATGAACCCTGCATCGGGCTTCCTGCTGGACAGGGAGTCTGCTTCTCCCTCTGCCCCTCCCCCTTCCCCTGCTCACGCTCTCTCTCTCTCTCTCAAATAAATAAAATCTTTTTAAAAAAATAAAATTTTTTAAACGTTTTATTTTTATTTATGATAATAAATATTTGTTTTTAGCGGTTGTTTTAGAACTAAAACTATACATCCTTAATTATCAAAGTCTATTTGGAGTTAATACTGTGCTACTCCACACTTCACAATAGTGTGTTCATTGACCCGCCTCCCCACCATCTGTGTCATCGTTGCCAGATCTTTTACTTCTATGTACATTATAAACAATATCATTATTTTTGCTTCTAACAGCCAGTTGTCTTCTTGGGCCCTACAAGGTTCTTGGATCCGTCAATTGCTGTTTTCCACCAAGTATTCCTTCAAATACTTTCCCACATCATTCTCACCCTTTTCATTCTGGAACCCTGAATATGCATATGCTAGATTATTTGATACTGTCCCACAGGTCTCCAAGGCTCTGTTACTTTTTCTTCGATCTTTTTTTCTCTGTTGTTCGGATTGGAAAATTTCTATTCATCTCTCTTTAGTATACAGACCCTACCCCTGACATCTTCAGTCTTTCGTTAAGCCCATCCATTGAACTTTTCATTTCAATGATTGTACTTTGCAATTCTGGAATTTCCATTTTGTTCCTCCTTCTAACTTGCCATACCTTTTTGCTAGCTCAATGATGCATTTAAATATATTTTTAAGTATATTTTTCAGAACCTTAAGTGACTAATGACAAAAGGGTTTTTCAGAGGTCCTAGTCTGACATTTTGCAAGAAAAGAAGTTCCCAGTGGCATTTTTCAAAGGAAAAAATAGGCAGGGTTCTGTGACTCGTTGGGTGGGGAAAATGATATCAAAGGGTTTGAAGCTGGAATATTAGAAAGAACTGGTAGAAAGAGGGAAAGCTGACGAATGGGCATCAGTACAGGGGAAAATGACGAGGTGATTTCAAGGCATTTTGAATTCCAAATATCAGTGCAACATTCAAGTGGAGATGCCCTGTGGGAAATTGGAGACCTTAGAGATGAATTCATTTATTCTCTTAACATCGATCAGTACCCACTACAAGGCAACACTGGGCCAGACACTTCCTGACACTGGAGCATTCCCTCTGGAGTCCTGAGCCATCAGAACACCCCTCCTCAATGTCCCCAGCCTTGACACTCACTTAAATAAACAGCTGTCATGGCCTTAGCAGCCCCCACCACATTGAATGCCCTCCTGGAGATCCCACCCTTTCCAGGACCAAAATAACGGACAGAAAGATTGAAAGCATGACAAGAACCATGTGACTTTATTTTAAGCACCGACAGCAGGGAGGGAAGGAAGATCGGGGAAGGGAAGGGAAGGGAAGAGCAAGAGTTCGGGGAAGGGCAAGGTTGAGGGATGGGGGCTGAGGGACTGTCCTCTTCATGAGTCAAGCGGCCCAGATTCCTCCAACAGAATATATCCATGTACCTCTCCTCCCAATATCCTTCCTCGGCCTGAGGGAGACAGGAGACAAGGAGGGAGACTCCCACACAACAAGAAATGAGAAGTGGAAGGCATGGAAGACGGGCCAGGGTGAGACCAAGCGGTTACACCCCACCACCACGGTTGGGTTGGGCAGAGGGCCGGCCGGGATCCTCAGGGAGGGTGAGAGCGCTGGGGGCCTGGTGTTTCATCAAGCCCAGCCAGCTTGACACTTCTTACAGCTGCGGCCACAAGCTCCTATCCCACAGTATCTGATGCCACCGGAACGGATGGATGACTGAGAGGTCCCCACATACAACTCTGCCCGAGAGCTGCTCACACCCCACTGGCACAGGGATAATAACAAACCCAAACCTTTGGTGGGGGTGGGGACCTGGTTCCAAAGAGCTCCCCGCCACCACTTAGAACCCCCTCCCTACCAGCCAAGAGCACCTAGGTGGATGGGATGGCTCCTGCTCATCCACGTCTCCAACGATAAGTAAAACCAACATGAGCTTCCCTGTGGCCTGTCCCCCAGACTCCCACCCTTTACTGGAAGAGAGTCCATCTTGTGGTTTAATCTCAATCCCTTCTTAATCTCTTCTTCTATCACTGACTTCAGGAAGACCTCCCTGGGGACAACCAAGCTGATGAAACACCTACTTTAGCCCAGAAAATATTTGACATCTTGAACGTGGACAAGTGTGCTTGGACAGGGAGAGAATGCGAGCTTCCTAACAATGGGAAAGTAAGACTTCCATTCCGACAGGCGTGGTGTGAGGAATTAGTCCACTCACGACCTGTCATCCAGCCCCATCATCATCACTGTGGGGCAGGAAATGAAGGAAACCCCTTCTCCCTGGGTCTCTCCACCCTCAGAGCTAAAACGTTCTTCCCACTGTCTAACTGCAGTGTCTCCCTCCAGAGCCAGATTCAGAGCACTTGCTGCCCTCACACCACCTGATGTAGGAGAGACAAGGTAAGCGTTAGGTGTGGGCACAGAACTAATGTGGTCACCAGCTCGGAACCCAGTCACCCAAGGAATCATTCAAGATTCCCCAGAAGGTCAGAGGAGAAGGCCTGGGGTGCAGCAGCCCCAAAGGCTCAGCATCTCTCCAACCCTGTCCCAAAAGAACATAAGGGGCAGGCTCTCCCAGATCCCTCTGACAAATGGGACCCGCCAAATGCAGTAGGCCACACAGACCCCTCTACCTGTCCCCAGGAATCCAGCTCCGGATTGCCGCCCCACCCGCACGGATGGGCTAGCTGGTCGGGAGCAATCCAGTCTCCCTGAGCTGTTTCATCTCTCCAATACAGTAAGAGTATCTTCTGTTTGCCCTCTCTGTTTGAGGCCTCCTTTTCTCCTGCTTTCTAACCAATGGTGTTCTGGAACCAATTCACAGAGCCTGTTTTGCACATTTCTAGCCCACCCTCCATGAAGTCGCAGTCGGCCATGACGGAAGAGTTTACACACTAAAGTTGGGAAGTACTGTAAATAGGGGTGTTTTCTTCCTCTGAGAGCCGGTTCTTAAACATTTACCAGCCAGCCACTGTCCCAAGAGGCATGTTAGAAATCAGGCAGTGGACCTCAGCTAAAATTCTTCTCCTTAGCCTCTCAGGGCTGGGAGGGGCCCTGAAGGTTTCCAAGATGGCAGCAGAAGAAGAAACAGGTGCTCGAGAAGTCCGGGAGCAAACAACGGATCAGGCCTATGCTGCGCTGCCCCCAGCAGCCCTGGCTGCACCCACCTGTGCTCCTCGCCCTCCAGCAGCCGCCTGTAGGTGGCGATCTCGATGTCCAGGCCCAGCTTGGAGTTCATCACCTCCTGGTACTCCTTGACCAGGCAAGCCACGTCCTGCTTGGCCTTCTGCAGGGCGGCCTCCAGCTCAGCCAGCTTGCAGCGGGCATCGCTCAGAGCCGCCTCGCCCTGCTGCTCAGCCTGGGTCACTGCGGCCTCCAGCTTGGAGTTCTGGGGGCCCAGAGGAGAACAAGGTGGGTTATTGTCCTGGGTCTCTCTGTCCATTTCCTGGATGTGTCCAGTCTCTCCCCTCCCCCAGCTGGGGACACCCCAAGAACAGACCTCTCCCCTTCATCAGCTGAGTCTCCCCCAGGGACCACAACCAGGGACGATGGTCAGGCAAATGGGCTGGAGCATGAATGGTGAGATCCACTGGGGACACACATTGCCTGTATTACCCTGGAGAGGCCGCAGGTGACCCTTACCTGGCACTTGGCACTCTCAACCTCAGCGGTCAGCCTCTGGATCATGCGGTTGAGCTCATTGATCTCCTCCTTGGTGCAGCGCAGGGTCTCCCCGTGCTGGATCATCGTGTCACCGTAGCCTTCATCTCCTCACACTGGCCGGGGTGGGGGGGGGGAGAGGAGGGGAGCAGAGATGGTTCTGAGGCTCAGGATGCAGTTTCCCACCCACTCAGACACCACAGATGATTGGTAAGTTGTACGGTGCTCAGCCTGTGCGACCATACGTGGCAGCCCTGCCCAGCCACTGTAACCTGAGAGCTGTCTGCCCTTCTGTTACCATCCTAGGGATCAGAATCCCCAGACAAAAGAGGCCTTGTTAATATATGCCTGGCATCCTTCCCACTGTCATATCTAGGAGGCAGGTGTCCTGTGCCTCTCACCTTGCTGAGGTACCAGCTTTTGGCTTCAGCCTGACTGCATCTGGCAATGTCATCATAGTTAGCCCAGATCTCAGTCACAGTGCAGCCCATGTTCAGGTCCTGGCTGATATCCACCTTGATGGTGACTAAGGTGTCTGAGATGTGGGCGTGGATGACCCACCTGTCCTGTGGGGCCAACAGCCATTCACGTCACCTATACCATCCAGAGCCAGGTAGAGCACTGCTCACATTCCCCCTTCACACACACACACATACCACAGAGCCACCATTTCCAAAGCCCTCACGCCTGCAGACCCCTCTGTCCGTTTCCTCTGTACAAAGGCTGGCCTGGGACAGAGTGAACAGGGATGACTAATGTCCTCCCGGCCAGTGCTCACCTCCTCACACATGGCGTTCAGGAAGCCCATCTCCTCCACCAGCCCATGGACATTGGCCTCCAGGTCTCCCTCGAGCACATAGGCACCGTTACCCTTCTGGAAACAATGTGCAGGCAGTTCCTAGTGATTGCAGAGATTTTCCAGGGGACCCTACCTCCCCCAGTCCAACCCTAGAAAATCTCCAATCCCATTCCGTGCCTGCAAAGCAGGTCAGAGGCAAAGATCCAGAAGCTGAGGGGTGGAGAACTAAGTTCTCCCTTCTGCTCTAGCAAAACACAGTATGAGACTTTGGGAAGTTCTTTTCTCTCTCTGGGCCTCTCTGTAAAGGAAGATCCAGAGAATTCCTGCCTTGGGGATCTCCCTGGGTGTGAGGAGGAAAATGTCCTTCCATGGGTGGAAATAAAATATGAACATGTTAACTAAAGGAGGGAGTACTGGATGCCCCCGAGGGCGGCCACAGGCAGACCCACTCACTTGCTTGATTCTGACAAGCTCATTCTCTGCTGTGGTCCCCAAAGTGACCCCTTCTTCATACCTCCACAGGGAAAGGGCTTTGGAACAAGAGAAATTATCAGAGATTTGGCTAGGAATGCAAGGGAGGAGAGACCACCCAACATGACCTATCACACCCCTCCCCCGGGATGTCTGAAATATCCCTCTCACCCACATCCCTAATAGTACATTTCTCTAACTTAAATAAGCATTACTCATTTTAAAGATCCTGGTTTTTTTATTACTCTAATAAGCTGATTGCCTGAGCTTAGATCTGGGAAGGTGGGTGGAAACAGCAACAGGATCCAGTGAGTGTGAAGAGTGGAGCAGAGGCGGTGTCTTCTTTGCAGCCCTAGTCCCCAGCATGATTTTGGAATAGAGTAAGTGCTCAGAACAGGTCCACAGGATGGGTGGATGAGTCGGGAGAGGGCCCCTGTCCTGAGGTCCTAATGCAATGGGGAAAGGCTCTTAGCTGATATTTCAGCTTCTCTTCCCTTCATGTGTCTGCCTGTCGCTGTCTCTAATGCTGATAAAAGCACCAAGTAGGTTAATGAAGGAAGAAGTTTCCAGGGCCAGTAGGTTCGGTGGCTCCCAGTTGTCACATCATGTAACCCCTTCTCAGAAAACAGACCTTCCCCACCAACTCACTTCTTGTAGCCCTCCAGCCCCTCCTGCACATGGTTAGGGCAAAGGACAGCCATGACACAGCAAGGCCACAGGCCGAGGGGCAGCGGTATCTTTGAGTGGTCATATGGGAGATGGATTTGAGGACTCCATTAGGGGAGCTAATGCAAGATGACCCACAGGTTATGGTGAGCTAGGCTAGAAGAGATTAAGCCAGAGGAAGAAGAGGATTCTGACCCCTCCTTCACTGCCCCTCCCTTTTAGCAACCCACACACCTGGGTCCACCTGCCTCACCATGTAGAGTGGCCATTTTGTCACCTTTATGGGCTTGGGGGATTTCACAGCCATTTCTCCTCTTTCCTAGGGTAACGTCGTCAAGATGGGGCTACACTCAAGTAACCCTGAAGGCTTAGCAGCATTTCTTCCACAGTTGTGGGCCTGAGGGTGCCCAAAGAATCAAGGCCAACCAAAGTCTGTGGATTCCACACTTTGTGAGACAATTCAGGAGGAGAAGGGAATCTGGGTTGGGATGGTTTCTTCCCTGGAAGCTTTGAGGGGGAAAAGCGTTCCAGGGGATCCACGGGCAAGGCCTCAGAGGACAAGTTTTCAAGGCATCTGGATATTTGACCCTTGGCAGGGCCAGAAGGGGACTGTGTCTACCCCCACCAAGACATGGCAAAGTCAACCACCCAACCAAAAAAGTATTTGTTCAGCTACTTCATGCCGCAGGATGCATGAAGTTTGTGGATGTGGTGGGAGGGTTCCAAATATCCAGATGCCCGAAACCCACAGCCTGCCCATTCACCTTCACCCCTTCCCAGGTGCCTTCAAGATTTCTCACCCCCAACCCAACACAGAGTCTCTCCCTCAACTAAACCACAAGCTCAGGGTCACACTCTCCAGACAGTCTCTTTCAAAGGGCTCCCTTTGGGGACACTCTCAGAAGAGTCAACTCCATCCACCCACCAAAACCCAGAAAGAGGTCCCAGCAAGCATCACATAAGGGCCCCCATAAGTCTAATTTAAATCCTACATGCTTCAGGGTAACTCCATTTCTTCTAGTGAGGGAGCCACCAAGGGAAGACTTCTCCAATACTACTGCTATTCCCTGGAGAAAACTGGAGTAAGTCCACCTGGTACTGAAGCCAGCCCCGGCAGCCCTAGCTAAAGCTGGGCGTGCGAGCACAAGACACTGCGCTCTTGGACTCCGCCTTCCACGGAGGACAGCACTACGGTTGGGCTGAAGCCCTTGCAAAGTCAAAGCTAGACCAAAGGGACTCAAGTCCACCAGAGTGTTGGGAAAGAGAGCAGAGGGGGGCGAGGGGCACTCTCTGGAAATGGGTTGCCAGGCGGAGCTGGCCATGATGGCTTCTGGAGTTCCAGGATTTAATTACCTTGGCATCATAACAACTTATATTTAAAAGCAAAGGAAGCTAAGGATGATTTGCATGTTTTTCTTTAATGCTGCCTGCTGAGTTCATATTCTGGTTTCCTCTGTCCGTAATTGGACATACAATTAACTTCCATTATGATGGATTATGGCCTTCTAGAGTTGGTGGCCATGACCAAGCACCAGTGGAGGGGAAGGCTTTGGATCGGGCCTATTCTTCTAAGAGCCCAAAGCCTAACAGTCTGGACCCCTGCCCAAGAGAAGAACTCAGCCCTCACTGAGCCCCCAAAGACTCAGACCTTCGGAGGGGCCAGCGTGGGGGAGGGCTGGGAACCTCCTTTCAGATTCTGAATCTGCTCCTCTATAGAGCTTTCTGTGCTTGACCTTAAACAAGTCACTGAACCACTCTGAGCTCACCTTCCCAATCAGGTAAATGGGCACAATAACACTGACCTGCAAAGGATGCCCTGGGGGTAAAGATAAGATAATGCATTATAGAGCCCGCACACCCTGTAGGCACTCCACTGATGCAGCGCCCCTCCCCTCCCCTGGGAGTGTGGAGAGGGGTACAAGAAGCAATTTCGGGGACTGGGGGGTGAGGGCGAGACACAAGAGAGGAGCTTTGAGCTGAGTTCTGAGAAAAAGAGAAGAGAAAGTTTCTGCCCAAAGGGAGACAGGATGAATGGCAAATTAACAACAGTAGAATAAATAGAACAAACAAATAAACAAACATCTACGGAGCTCTTAACTAAGTGCTCGGCAGGGCCCTAAATGCTTTCCTGTCCATTATGTCATTAGGTCCTGCCAACAGCTCGCAGATGGGTACTATTTATTATTCCTACTTTGCACATGAGGAAACTAAAGCTCAGAAAGGTTATTCACTCGTCCAAGGTCAAGACAAGAATCTGCAGAACCGACTTCAGAGACCCCTCCCCGTGGACACGCGCGCGCGTGCGCACACACACACACACACACCCCTCGCCCCCGACGCCAAGCGGGGCTGCGCGGGAGACCGGGGCTGCCCGGCCTGCAAGGCGGCGGCGCCCGGCTGGGACACAAGCGGCGCCCGCTGTGCC